ACTCAAAACTAATTCCTTTCAAAAATATCTACGACACGCCTGAGACTTATGAAAAGACCATCGCCCCCAACAAACATCACAAATCACCAGGTTCAATAATGGTTTGTTCTTCATGGTGAAAAAATGTAACGAATATTCCAAGCACCTGACCGCTCAGAGATATCAGCAAGAAGTCATAATCATGTAGTGCCTAGTAGATGCAGAACAAGAGCAAATTTCACAAGGGCAAGAATAAGAATCTAAGGAACTACTAACCTACATACAGGAATTGAAAGATCCGTTTTTCAGGCATGCTCAATACAGATGGCAAGGAGCCCAAACGAGGGCGCGAATATCTCGTCTCTCTACCGAAGGGGTAATGGATTCCCACTTCTTCAGCCTGGCTAAAACACATATTCACAAAACCACAATAGAGACACTTTACGAACCGAATGCCAAGGAAGCAGATTCGGTCACAACCACAACTCGCTGCACCAAGATAACGTACGACTTCTACAAAGATCTATTTTCGACCCATGTAGACAGATCTGACATATCACAACATGATCACCTGATAAATGAGTTCTTAGAACCAGTCAACAAGACACTAACACTTCAACAACGTATCGCCTTAGAAGCCTCACTCTCCAAAAATGAAATATGGTCTGCCCTTCTCCAAATGAAGGAGGACAAGGCTCCCGGGATATACAGATTCCTCAAAGAATTCTGGGAAACCACCTGGGATTTTATGGGCCAGGAAGTTTTGGACTTCTACAACGAAGTATGGCTCACAGGAGAGATGGGGGAAAGAGTGGGGCAAGGGATACAAACGCTCTTATATAAAAAAGAGGATAAAATAGACCTCAGAAACCACAGACCAATAACGCTTCTCACGGTAGTCTACAAAATGTTGTCCAAAACTCTAGCAAATAGGATGATTCTGGTAATGGAGGTTATCATTCATTCGGCACAAACTAGTTTCATGAAAAATAAGAATATATAAGAGAACATCCCGTTGATCAACGAGATCCTTCAGCTTACGAAACACTGCCGTCAAAACGCGACCTTGATCTTCATTGATTTTGAAAAGGCCTATGACCATATGGACTGAATGTTTTGGGATAAGTGTCTCGTAAAAATGAATTGTGGTCCGTATTTTAGACGCTGGACACAAATCCTGCATCAAAATGCCACTACATGTGTCCACGTCAATGGAAATCTCGCGCCACCCCTGCACTTAGAACGTTCGGTCCTCCAAGAAGACCCTATCGCCCCCTTCCTTTTCCTAATCATGATGGAGGCATTAGCTACCAACCTTCGGACAAACAAGAACATCGCCAAAATACGGATTACATCCATCTTGGAGGAGGCAATCCTGGTATGTTCCTTGTTCGCGGACGATCTCACGATAATGGCAGAGGCCACACACTGTAACATGGAGGAAATCCAACGGTTGATGGAAAGGTTTGCGAAGGTTTCAGACATGATGGTGAACTGGGGGTCCAAGACGCAAGGATGGTAGATTTACCACCAAGGCGAACGCCCCCCAAAAACACCACGCGTTGCATGGACATCATTAGAGAACCCAATAAGAATTCTAGGGGTATCCATGACCGCAGGAGGACGGCCCCCAACCAATGACGAATGGATCAGCACCTCAACTTTACACAAACTAAGCAGTTGGAAAAATAGACTCGCATCCCTTTTCGGTTGGACCTTGGTGCTTAACAATGTGGTCTTTGCATCCCTATGGTACAAGTCTATGTTATGGTCATTGAGTAAAACAACTTTGAGGGATTTACGAAAAAATGCGGCCGCCTTCTTGTGGAGAGGGAACGGAGAGCAAGATAACGTAATAAGTCGAGTGGCCTGAGACTCGATTATCCAACCAAAACTAGGAGGAGGCTTGGGGATTCTCGATACGACCATGCAGGCGCAGGCGTTACAAATAAAATGGATTAAAAATTTATTTTTTGCCCCTCGAAGCCCGTGGTGTGTTCTAGCTCTGGAACACCTGATCCGTTTGGCCCTGACCGCCCCCCACACAATTCACCCACTGACTTGGCTAGAAGACTGGTTTTGGTCAATCCCGCGTAAACTCTCATATTAAAGGGAGGAGGGGAAGGAGGAGGTCAGATACTGGACAATTTTTGACCATCCCTGTTGCAAACATGGCGCAAATTCCCGCTCCCAGAACGAACCCACCCCGACCGCTGGGAGGAGGTCCATCGCCAACCCCTCTTTGGGAATAGATGGGTGACACGATATGCTCAGGGTAGAGGATTTATGGGACAATGAAAGACAAGATTAGAAAACAGGGGAACAATTGCGAGCAACCCTAAGATATTGGAAAATCTTATTGAAACCATCCTACTAGAGTGGTACCGAATCCTCAAACGCGGCCCCTCCTTGAGAGAAGGTGATTGGGTAGCAAGCTCAGAGACCCCGTCGAGGGTTGGCCTGATACATATGGTGTCGCCCCAAACTGTCTTAGTTGAGTCCTACGGCATCACCAGTACAGGCACCCTCCAATGGAGCTCTACTCCCTTGGAATGGAGGGACAGAGTATCAGTGCACCGGGTAAGGGTTTTCGAAGAAAAAAGACTGAAGGTGGCGTTCCAGCCAGATAAACCAATCTAGGAGCTGGCTTTGGACCTAGTGGAATGAATATGGCATTCCCCCCAAAAGAAGGGTCCCCCCAGGACAAGCCACATTAATCTGCAGCAGTTATCGGGCAAATCAGTCTATAAAATGCTTAGACCTAAATGGCATCTAAGGGACACAATTCATGATCGATGGGCCAGACAATTAAATGTGGATCGGACTCTCCTGACTCCAATCCAATGGTTTAAACCACCGCTCCCCCCAATTGCCTAAAGTACGGCCTACCGGTAGGGTAAAAACAAACCCCAATCCAATGGTTTAAACCACCGCTCCCCCCCATTGCCTAAAGTACGGTCTACTGGTAGGGTAAAAGCAAACCCCGGGGCTTGTACTACGGGTAGTGCACTTCGACGCCTACCCGTGAGCGAACTTGTGGCCCCGCTGCAACTGGAACGTGCTGTGGCAGGCGTCGGGATGCCTGTTCACAGTTCGTTGCGTTCGCGCTAGATGTTTTGTTTAGTTTGTAATTTTTTTTTTTTTGCTGTTTTTTATTTCGTCCTTTTTCACTTCGTCATTGTCAGGCGTAGGGATTCTTTTTTCGACCTTTTCATTTCAGGCCAGCTGGTCCCGCACAATGGGTCTCGCTGCACTACCCTGCAAACCCCGACATGCACATAAGGGCCAGATCCCACTCGCAAAGAGGATTGCAATGAGTCTCTGAATCTGGACGTGTTYGTGGCCAGGTGCAGAAAACTGTGATTGATCTGCTTTTCTGCATCCCTGCATGGAAGACGTCCAGATTCAGACACTTATTCCAATCGTCCTTGCCAGTGGGATCTGGCCCTAAGTCAAAAATGTTCGGGGTGTATCTTTCCACAATGCAGCGGAAGATTCACTTCTATTTTCTTTTTCCCAGTGAGAGCAGCATTCGCCCCGCTTCGTCAGGTTGGACTCTCTCTCTCTCTCTCTCTCTCTCTCTCTCTCTCTCTCTCTCTCTCTCTCTCTCTCTCTCTCTCTCTCTCTCTCTCTCTCTCTCTCTC